TACTGAGGTTGAGGTTAGAGTTTAAGGTTGAGGTTTAAATGAAGGGTTTGAAAATTTTCATTACAATTAGGTAATTCTTTCATTTGAGGGCTATGCAGGGCGGTGCCATCTCCCCAGAAAAAAAAACAGTACCATGGTATTGAAGTTTGCTTAATACTGTTTTCCAAATTAGAATCACAAAGAGCTTACAGTTCATTATGTATAAATATATGAGTAATCTGTAAGAAGTCAGTTATTGATTAGAACAGCAGAATGGTATACAATAGTACAGTATAGGACTTTTGAGATTTTGCTTGCACTAAAAAATAAGTAGAGCTACAGGTCAAGGTACAAGTGTCCCCTCTAGATCACCTCATACCTCCTCCTCCAATCATTTGAACCATTTCATCATCCCTCTTAAACCTTTTTTTCTCTATTTGACCACTGTATTTAATGTATAGGGGACATTTTATCACTGCATATATGTCCTCAGGTATGAGACAATGTCAGTTGCATGTAGGTTACTTTAATACATGTAGGTTGCTCACATATTTACTTGGAAATAAACAATTTAAATGACTTTTAACAATTAAAAACTTTGCAGTTTTATATCCCAGAATCTCCTCCACATGGAGAGTTTTACTCAAATGGTTAGAATCCGCAGGGACGCAGCTCACTTTAACAAGGTTTGTTTTCTGTTTGTTTTTCATTCTGACCACTAGCGTTTCCCAAAGATCATTCGCATTAAAAGAGAAGCCCCAGCTTTGGGGCAGACATAGGCACACAAGCGCCTGCTGCTCGCTCACACACACTCCTCTACTGCCCGCAGAAGCACTGCCAGCATCTATAAAAATAAATTGTGCCATAAAAGTTAGGAAATTACAATCTGTGAAATCCTGGAATGAGACCACTAAGTGGCAAATAACAAACAGGTAAAAAATCTGCCAGCTCTGAGCATTAGATGTTCAAGAGGGTCAGTGGCGAGAGTTAAAAAGGGAGATGGATGGACCCTGCAGACACAATACTGAAACATTTGCATTTGATAAGATCAGAAAATGAGTGTTTAGGAATAAGTTCTATGTCAGATCATAATACTGGTCTCATACTGCCTACATGTGGGGCATATCGAAGAACGTACACATGAACACTTATAAACTCGTTCACTTGTTAGTGGACACGCCACGTAATTGGATATAGTAATGTTAAGATAATGCAATAATGAAAAGATCAAATAGATTTAGCTTAGGATTAGAGCTAAATATGACAAAACATGACAAATCATCGGCCCACTAATGCATCTATTTTAAGTGTTTTCCATCTCAGCACCATGGACAGAGCACAACAGAGTTAGCATTGCCAAATGAGAGACACTAGAACCAAAGCTGTTCCAAAATGTTCCGTGTACCTGGTTTTCTATTATAAACATCCATCGGAGACTGAGATTCATTATTTGTCAGTATTAATTAAGAATTTCATGCATGGAAAATAGTGGAAAGGTTTGAACTTAGTATGCACAGATTCCCTGTTACTTTCCCATATTACTTTCTGCTTCTGGGTAAAAGAACATAAAGATATATTTAAAGTTAACTACACCCTTAAAAAGAGGTTCTTCAAGGGTTCTTGAGTAAACTCAAACCATGATAACTCAAAGAACAAATAGTGTGCAATTGCTTGCACATCTGCATGATGATAAACCTGTTGAAGGCGGTTCTTTGAAGAACATTTTAGTTCACTTTTAATTTACTTTGCATGAAAAAGGTTCTGCTATTGTTACATGACTTTATATAGAACCTTGTTGCAACTATACAGCTGCAGCCCAAAACAAACAATGTGAAGGTTCTTTACCAATTTAAGCTTTTCCTAGAATCGCATGTCCAAGCCAAGAACCATTAAGCAAACTTTATTATTGAGAATGCAGCAATAATTCAACTCCATAATTAAAATGTAAAAGCACTGACATTTTTTATCCATGTGATGTCTGTTAATATAAATGTTAATTCCAGTCTGTGATGTAGATGACAGATTGCAACCCTGAATTAAAATCATATCAACTCTCTTCAGTAAAGATTTATGATATGGGAGCTTTTGTGAGCTTTTATTTGAACACAGTGTATCATAAAGCTACTAAATCAGAGAGACTTTGTGGCTTTTCAGAACCATTCACGCAACATTTTCATCCCTCAAACACTCTGCTCCCCCCCGCCCTCTCTCTCTCTCTCTCGCTCTCTCTCTCTCTCTCTGTCTCTGTTGGAGGATCTGATTCACTGCTGTGGTGGCTCTGTTTGAAGGCTTTTGTGGGGAGGAATGTAACATCTTAAAACGAGAGCAATAACAAAACCACTTGATGAAAGAATGGACAAGGCACTAATTTTACAGCTTAACCCGTCAAGATTGCCTCTTTAAAGCCATGCCTTCATAAAAAAGACTGTAATTTGCAAACAATATGCTTCTGTCAACCCTTGAACTATTAGCTTCCTTCATTGCAACAGAGGGACAACTGGAGAACATGTTACAGGATTTACAGATGTATTTACTGAGTTGGGCTCCAATTAGCCGGTATAAGACATTTAGTTTGACTAGTTTATGTGATATTCTTGTGGTTGAGGCTGTCAGTGCTCTATTTTTGTTTCTTAATGTGGTTGAGAGATTTATGATGCTTCTATTCATATACAGTACTATGCAAAAGTCTAAGGCACAATTGATTTAATAAAATAAAGAATTGATTAGCCAAATTGTATTTTATCGTGTATGAAACATCAAAATATTGATGTTTTTTGTAATAATTCTAATATTATTATTTTGCTGAGCAAATATATGCTCACTGTCCAGATAAATAGCTTTTTAATTATAATTTTCTCAGGTGCCTAAAAAATGTGATGTACAGTGAGATATATATATATATATATACCATTCATTATATATACAGTACTGTACAAAATCTTAGAAACCTAGACACATTATTTAAAAACAATAAGTGTGTTTTTGCTTGTAAAAACACCATTTATCACTAGAATGAATGCAAATAAACATAAATACTGGAAAAAGTGTCAAGAATGTCTATTTATAAAAGTAGTTGTTATCTTGTGAGCTAGTTTTAAGAAAAAAGCTTATTTCAAGATTTCTCCTCAATGGCCCCAGCCATCACATGGATTTGTTCAAATTTTATAGCACATGTGATTTTATTTAATGATGTTTTAATTAGCCAAACCAAGTATTGGTTGATAAGTACAATAGCTCAGGCTTCCTTGAACACATTGACATACATATAATCACTACTTAATACTTAATGTTATTAGTATTATGCATTCAACGTGTATGCACAGGATATTTGAATATATTGAATATTGACGTATTGCTGTATTATGCTGACATCATACGGATATATGAAAAAAAGATATGTATAAAATAAAATGTATGTAATAAAGTATAGGTTTTAATAACACAATAGGCGTATTAATCCGCCTTAATATCAGTTAGGTTCACCTTCTCTCACAGGACGTTGCTTTTTTTTTCTTTAATAAGCGTTTTAAAAATGTATATAAAAATGATAATAAAAAAAAGGACCCGGCTTTGCTGATTAAGCACTTCCTAACAATCTTGTCTCTTTCAGTTTGTTCTTTTCTGTCAGGTTTCCAATGCGTCCAATAGTACTGACGTATTAGGATCGATCACAGTGATCAGAGTGGAAGCTTTAAAAAAGAGTCTGATCTCTCTATACTCACACACACACACACACACACACACACACACACACACACACACACATACATACACATACACACATACACACACTAACAGTCTACGGAGCTGCACACGCACTGAGAAGCTGAGAAGCTGAGTATTACGCTCTCTATTGGCAGAAAAGGGGACGAAGGAAAGGAAATCAAACAAACTCTGACCGAGACAGACGAAAGAAATACTGCACATTTCAGCACAGATCACATTCTTCATAAAGGCTCTTCTCATTTTCATGCTTCTGTGTGTGCGTTTTTTTAATCATACAGACCATAAATAATGTATTTTATCCAATAAATACAATAAATCATCAACTATATTAGACGAGTTAATTCCTTAAAGTCCTAATACATTTTAAACATTTAGCACGAAGATGCTGACTGAAATTATAGCCCTGAAAAATGAGCTAAATTAGCTCGTCCGAGCTGATCTGAGGGTTAAATCTGACTCCCGCGCGTTTAATTGGGGGGCGGGGCCACATTACGAGTGACGTATTTCATAAAGACTCAAAAAAGGAGGGGGGCGGATTTTTATAGCACTAATTTTTTGACAGCAGTCACTTCATCCACGCGCCCTCATCCCACCACATCCGCCTCATTTCATTACTGTGTTTTCCCTCGCGCTTTTCGGTGTAACGGATTGTGCATGTTTAAGAGTCTGTTATTGAGCCTCAACGCGCTGAAATAAACGCACGCAGCTCTGTCCGGCTCTGATCTGACCCTCCCAGTGCCGATGAGCTTGTAGTTAAAGTGCAGACTTGACGCGAGAGTTCGGCTACTTGTCCTTTCAGCTCGAGCTTCTGCGCCCTGACCAACTTCATTCAGCATGTCAGTGCAACACGAATGGGATGAGAAAACTTCTGATGCACGGAGGAAAAAGTGCAGCTGTGTGGGATTAAAAGAGGTCAACGAGTGCACGTGTGACCAGTACTGACCAATAGTTTTTTTTAATCAGCGTACAATAAACGTGTGCAAAAACACATACACACATATGCAAACCAAGACTATTTTGTAGGCTGCAGGTTTAATGAATGAGAGCACAAATGCTAATGCATGAAAAAAAAAAACGGCTCGTGGTTCAGATGCGTCCAGCGGATGCGCGTGAACTGTTTTCTTTACTTCTTTTAGCAGGAATTGCAGCATCCATAACTGACTCACACTTTTAAATGGAGCTTATTATTTTGTATCATGCTGACCATTATTTACCAATAGCTTTGCCTTATAATGTGCGCTCACGCGCTGCACCTACTGTCCCTCTATCATCAACAGCCCGAGCAGCAGACTGACCTGCAATAACAGTAGGTGAGCGCTGGCCGCCCTCGGGCTTGGTCCACATCTCCAGGGTGAAGTTGCCTCGCGGTACCTCGGCGCTGGGCTTCAAGCGCAGCTGGTCTCCTCTGCCCGTGAAGTAAACGGCGCTCCTCGCGCGCTCGGCTCCGTTCTCCCCCGCCGCCGCCGTCGCCGCGCGCCGCTCCAGCGCGGCCACCGAGCGCTTCCCCCGCGGCAGCCGCGTGCCGCACGCGCCCGGGACGGAGCCAGCAGCAGCTTCCCTCGCGCGCACCAGCTCCCTCTTGGACCTGGGCGTCCTCCTCGCGACGGCGCCGCACTCGCGCCCGACCGGACACAAGCCGAAGAAGAAGAGCAGCAGGCACGGGAGCCAAGTGCACAAAGGCAAAAGTTTCATATTTGTAACCCCCCTCAAGTGGAGCCCACTTCCCCCCTTAAAAAATAAATAAAAAATAATAACAGCAGTAATAAAAATCTTTTTTTTTTGGTCCCTCTTAATAGCTAATAGAATCAAAACGAGTAGCCTGTGCGCAAAACAGTGCGTCTAGATCTTCACCCCCCTCTGCTTTTCTCTTTCTTTCCTTCTTTCTTTCTTTATGTCTTTCTTTCTTTCTTAAAAAAAGCTTGTCAAGGCGCGGATTCTACAGCAAGAAAGCAAAGCTGTCTTATTTTTTTTTCCTTTATAATGTTAAGCCACGACCCCCTTTCCTTGCCCCCCTTTCAAAGACACTTCAGCGCAGATTGAGGTGGGGGGGGAGAGAGAGAGAGGGAGAGAGAGACAGACAGAGAGAGAGAGAGAGAGAGAGAGCGAGAGAGGGAATATGTTAATTCATCCAAGCGCTCCACCTTCTCAATTGAATGGATCCCATTAAAGTGCAGGGATGACTAATAATCAATCAGAGCCACCGGACCCCCCCCACCCCACTCCTCCTCCTCCTCCCTCTCCTCCTCTCTCGCGCGCCTTCCCTCAAAAGCTCCTTCCTTCGCTCATGAACGGAGTTGAAAACGCGCGCGTTTACTTTAACGCGCCACCGTTCCTGCTCGCGCGCGGAGGCTGTCTGTCTGGACCTCTGGGGGGAAGGAGGAAGCGCGAGGGATGGTCTATTTGTATTTCTTTACAAACAGAAAGGGGATTAGCGCGCGCTGAAGTTGCAACAACAACAACAGCCAATCTTGAGGCGATGTTAATCGGAAGCTGCGGGGTTCTGAGCGGGCAGCACTGCTGGGGTTCGCCTTCAGGGTTTTTCACACCCAGCGAGCTCTGGCGCTCGAACGGCGAGCTGTGTGGAGTTAAGAGGGGGAGTCCCAGGTAACCTCTGACCGCACTGCTGCTGTCTGAGTGCGTGTCTGAGCTGGGACGGTGGCGGGTTTAATGACGAGAGGAGCTCCCTCTAGTGGCCGCAGGCGGGACTACTAAAAAAACAAGTCCGGCAAGAAAAGGGTATAAATCTTAAAGGGCAATCCCACCGATTTCTCAAATAAATGAATGAATGAATGAATGAATGAATGAATAAATACATAAATAAATAAATAAAGTATAGTACAATCGTCGACAAGTCATTCAGAGTGGTTGGACGCGAAATGGTATATAGTAGAGAAACTTACAGACAGAGGTCTTTACAGTGGTGGTGATAGGAACCAGGCGTCACAATATCTACAACGCAAATATCGCCGTTTTATTTACTATTCAAAAGGACCAGTGAACCTACACATCTTCTGGCTTTTTATATGTAATGTTATTAATAGTAAAAAAAGAAATCAACAAATGTTTTTCTTTGGGGACTATTTTGCCTGACAAGCTGCATGTACCTCTAAGCCATGAATGAATAAAAAAAGGCCTTCTCAAGACTGTCACATAAGGCATATTTGTATAAAACCTTGCTGTGAGGAAGCCTTTCGAGGCATTAAAATCTTCAGTCGTCTGGTTCCACTGAAAACAATGTTCACTTAGGAGGCATTACTTTGTTTACATTTCAATGATGTAATATTGCAGAAATTTGGAAAATCGGTGGAATTCCCCTTTAAGATTCACATCTGCTGTGGTTAGCTCTGTCTGTAGGGTCCTGCAGTGATGTAGGCTCATCTGTTTGAAGGATAGATGGCCAAGCAGCCTTACAGGAAGGTTAAAGTAGTGTGAAAATGAGACAGATCATTGTGTAAGACTTTAGCTCCAACACTAATCAACTCCCCCTTGATCCATCTAATTACAGGCCTCAGAGGTCCTTGATTAGGTGCGTTAGCTTTGGGTTGGAGGTAAAACCTGCAGGAAGGTAGATCTCCAGGAGGTGGGTTGGTGTAACACTTAGGTTGCTGGAGCACCCCCGCCCCACCCTGATCCAATGAATCAGCTACTTAACAAGCCCTTCCTGAGCTGAAGTGGGTGTGTTAAATTGCCCATATCACTAAAAACCTTTTCTGAAGTAGAAGAGTTTCATATTTGTACATAAATATTGTTAAAGTTTCAAAGCATACTGTCCACTCATCAGTCTATACAGTCCATATATGGAAACTAAGCAGCAACGGCCTGTTGTAAAATTCACTGATTTTGTGATGTTTGCATACATCTGCCAAATCAGCCTACAGCAGTACAGACAGCTTACTCACACTGAAGTTATAAGGAGTGTTTCAGCAAGGACTGCTGTTTGAATGAGGCACAGTGCAAGACAGCCAATCAGAACAGAGGTAATTTGCATATATGAGTCTTAAAAGCACAGGAACAACAACAGCTAAGGGATAAAGAGAGACTGGAAAATGGCTGTTTCTTGATTATTAAAACCACACAAATGTAATAAGTAGTACTGTAAAAATTGAAATATTGGAAAATGTCACATATGGGCCCTTTAAAGCAGAAAAACATTAAAAAGTGCAGGGCAGGGGCTATTTTTAGGACTAGTGTTGGGAGCCTGTGGTATAAAACAATGGTTACTGGTTCCAATCCTGGTGGCCCCACCTGCACTGCACAGTTTAGTGTTTTTCCCCTCATCATTAGTCCATAATCAAGGCCTCCCTGGGCTGAATCTGATGTACTAGAGCAGAGAAAGGATGAAATTCCTTTCAGGCAGAATTGCTGCATCAATATGTATGAACTTACCTCAACAGAAAATGTGGACACACAGTCATATGCACCATTTGGGTGCCCCTGGTCAATTGATGTGTTGTTAATTTACTAAGTGAAAATAAGTTAACAAATCCTCTACAGAGAATACACTGCACATTTTATTTAAATGTTTCAGTTTATTCGCTAAATTTAACATATTGTGTAAAAACTAAAACAGAAAAGATTTTAAACTCAGCAAATAGATATAAATCATGCAGTAAAAATAGCAGAAAAATGTAATTTAAGTTTGTAGCCTTTTCACTTACAAAATCAACAAAACGTGTAATTTGACTGGGAGTGTTCAACCTTTTGTATAGGACTGTATGTAATATTGACATATTTCCAACATTGACATATTTCCAATATTGACATATTTCCAGCTCAAAGCAGGTCAACTGATTTGGTGACCAAGATCAATGTTGAAAGGGACTCAATTTTTAGCCTCTAGAAACATTTTAAATTCAGGTGCTTTCCAGTTGCCGTTCTCAGCTGTAGTGTAAACCGATGTCTCTGTGCCGTTGACTTTTCACACTGCATATCAGCACAAACATCTCGGAAAAGTACTGAGTACATGTCCTCCAGGTTTAGCTGTTCTCGGTTTTCTTGTCTTCACAGCTGCAAAGGGGCTCCTTGCAAACATGTGACGTCAGTGTCACTGAATATCAATGGGCAACTGCAAAGGGAAGAGGCGGGAAAAACCTGCGGTGAGGCAGTTAAGAGCCCCTGGTGCTGACGGGTGCTTAACTTCTGCTTCATGAAACACCAACAGCTCTTGTTCGTCATGTTAGTCTGACCTTTTTACCTAGTTTGGGTGAGGAGGGTTGAACAATGGTATGTTTTTCATAGTAGCAGGTTTCAGAATGTTTAAATTAGTTATGAAATATAGTTAATGTAATAATATTCAATTAATTTTAAACCAGTTTTTTGGCCAAAATAAAAATTTCAGCACTCCAAACGCATTAGTGTATTCAATGTTTTTTTAAAAAAAATTCTGAATTGTACCAAAATAATTCAGTCGAGGTGAAAACTGAGATTTTGATGCGTTACTAAAGAATCACATTTTGAAAAGAATCAATTTGAGAGTTTTGCACTCCATATCTCAAATTGATTCTATTCAAATATTGAATAGTATAGTTTAAAGTATTGAATAGTAGTCTTAAGCTTATTTATAACCAATAACCGCAACCGCAAATGTGGGCATACAGTTGTATGCAAAAGTTTGGACACTCCTGGTCAAATGACATGTTTTGTTGATTTTCTAGTACTGTGCAAAAGTCTGAGACCACCTTATGTATCACTGTGCAAGAGCTGGTAGACCATCAAATCTGTCACCATCAGATAAACAGTGCTTAAAGTTTTCGTCTTTGAGAGAGAGGAGAAAATTAAGCTCCACTCTTGCTCCACAGGTGTTTCTGTCCATCCTTCCACTGAGAGAAGACAACTCAACACTAAAGGATGTGTAGCTGTCAAGATGCCCTTACTGAGACAAGGAAACAGACAAAAAAGAAGACAAACTTCAAATCAAGCAAAGAAGCTGTTGGTGTTCTCAGAACAATGGATTCAGTCTAGAGTCTAGACTTACCTACTTAGATCGTGAGAAGAAACTTCTAAGACTTTAGCAGTGTGGAAAAATATCCCTGCCAATTTCTTTAAAAAACTGAAAGTAAGCCTCTCCAAAAGAATGGAATCTGTAATAAAGGCAAAGGATGGACACACTAAATACTGAACAGAAAATATTTTTTATATTTAGTTGTTGAGGCTTCTGTGTAATTCTCCATTAAATATGCATTTTCTGTTTTGTTCCTGATGCTAAAAACATTTGTACTTGTACATAACGGCTTGTTTAATGGAAAACTAAATAAATGTAGGATGAGCTCTGATTTTTGCACAGTACCATATTTAAAAAACGAGTTGATTAGGGGAAATAATTACAAATGAAATATGCCACTTAACACACACAGTAGCCCAAGTGTAGGTTCTCACTTAGCATAGGAGTTGCCACACATATGAATAGTTGATTGCTTCAGCCTCGTAATTCTTTCATTGGCATGACAGGATTCCTCCCTCGTCTGCTGCCCTGCTGCTCTCACACCAGGTGATTAATTGGCTTTATTGAGCAGAAATGTGTAAAGATAGGGCATCTATTACTGAAAAGAAGTCAGAGTAGGTCCAAAAAAAAGATAGGACTACTAGTGAGGTAAGAGACTCAAAGCAGGGGAAATCTTCATCAATCAGTGCCTGTACTTTATTATTATAATTAATCAATAATCAAAAAATAATTTTTTGCTTAAATGGTTTGG